TAATGGTGAGTGTGTGTTATATATATGTATAATAGGTGGGTGGAGTGTATAACAATATATATATATATATATGTAACGATGATAGTAGTGTGTGTTAAGTGACTTGTGTTTGTGAGTATATATATATATGTATGGATGTAAATAAATTGAGAGGGAGAGCAGAGAATGAAGTTTGGGTGGAATGGGATCACTTCTATTTGTGTATTTCATTACATTGCATTAGGTATTTATAGCATAACAATAAATGACATTTTTGGTTAATAATATACCACAAGTCATTCACGTGCTTACTACGTATATAGCATGACAAAGTATCCAAATAACATCTATGTAGTAATCCAAATAACATCTACGTAATTACTACATGTACGTTTCGTAACAGGTGTATGCATTTTGGTAGTTTGAATGTTAAAATACAAAGTATGTTTTAATTAAAAAAATTTTAAATTTTATTATTTGAATTTTAAATTAAATTTTTTTAGATAAATATTCTATCATATATTATTTTAATAACAAAATTAAATCAAAATTTCTAAATCTTTTAAGACAAAACGCACCCAAAGTATGTCCAATGAATTGTGGCTGGAGACCTCTAATAGGGCAATAAATCCTCTATTCCAAATTTTATGAATTTCTCTCAATCAATAAATTAATTAGTTACACCATTATATATACTAATAAATAAGAAAGAGAATTAATAGTGTTTGATTATATTTAATTTTTTTCTTCTCTAAATTCTATCCTTATTATTTAATTTATTTTCTTTAAAAATAAAAAATAAAATATTTAATCCAACTTTAATTTTAATTTTTTTTATTACACTTGTTTTACAATTTTTATAAAAATATAATAATTTTTTTTACAAAATATTATTGTTACGCACAAATAATAATAATAATAATAATAATAAAAATAAGGATAGCATGATCTTAAAGGAAGTTAGGCACGAAGTCGGGTGGAAAAGGAGAAAAATTTGCGCTCAGGTCGGTTGGTCTTTGGTCGGTTGGTCTGGTCGGTTGGTCCTTGATCGGATCGGCAGGTCGGAAGGTCTGCGGTCGAATAGGCAGGTCGGTTGGTCCTCGGTCGATTGGTCCGGTCGGTTGGTTCGCAGGTCGGAAGGTCCGCAGGTCGGATAGTCAGCGAGTCGGAAGGTACGCAGGTCGGAAGGTCCGCAGGTCGGAAGGTCCGCAGGTCGGATAGTCAGCAGGTCAGATCAATAAGTCGGATGGTTTGTAGTCGGTTGGTTCACAGTTGGTTGGTCAGCCAAGTAAAATCGGCTGCTACGGAGGTCGGGCGAAGTAAGGTCTAGTAATTGATTGCCCACTTAAGTGAACAGTAGTTTGGTCGCTTGGTGGGGGCGGCCAAGGAGTCTCTTGGTCTAGCGACCAGTTAGTCGCTGGATTAGTCGGTTGGGTTGGCGAGACGGTTGCTGTAACTGACCAGACGATGTTTCAAAACGTTTCTTTTGGGCGGTTGACGGCGGTTGTTGTAACCAACCAGACGACGGTTCCAAGCGTTTTCTTCAAGGAATATTTAAGGATTTGGATTTTTCTGGAGAAGGCATCTTCAATCAACTTCGACAAAAGCAAAGTCAGATTCGGGGATCACCACTTTAAATTTCCAGCATTTTAATTTCCAGTTAATTTTTCTTATGTACCGTACAGTGTTTAGAGATTCCTAATTTCAGGCACTAATTAATCAAATTTAAGGATATTTCCATATCTTTGAATTTTACTTTTTGTTTGTTAAAAAAATACATCAACAATTATATTCAAAATTATATAAAAAATTAAATAAAAAGTAAACTCTTAGGTTTGTTTCTTTACGAAAAAATTTCCAATATATTTCTCCAGAAAAATAAATATACCAAGCATGCTCATTATTTTTATACTATTATTTACCTAATTCTGTATACCTCACATCAAAATTTTTTTCTTCAACCCAAAACACAAGACCAGCACACCCCTAAAATAATGTTTTCCTTCCATCCCAAAATAATATTTTCATTTTGTCATTTTCGTCTATTCTAAAACAATAGTCTCGTTTTCATTTTTGGTAACTAGTTCCCTGCCTTTTTATAAAATTATCTCAATTTTTTCCACAATAATTACATAAAGTAAGGACATTTTCGTCTTTTAAAAATATTTTTACATTCAATATCAATATAATACTATTATTCTTTAATTCTCGTGTCTATTTCAAATGTCTCTATTATTTTGGGACAGATGAAGTATTTAAATTTTATATTTGATATAATATTTTTAGGGTATATTTTTTATATTTAATTGTTTTACTCAACTCTTTGTCTAAGGGCGTGTTTGGCAATTAGCTGATAGTTGTTAGCTGTCAGCTAATTCAATTAGCTGATAGCTGATTCAATTAACTGGTTTGACTAGCTGATTCGATTAGTTGTTTGTATTAAAATGTTTGGTAAAACAACTGTTTGATATTAGCTGTTTATATGTAAAATGACAATCGAGGACATTTCTATTTTATGCTTATTTCTAATATATTCAAATGTTCTTTTGAGTTTAGAATGTTTAAAATTTTTTTGTTATTAGTTATTGAAAATTGTAAAAGTGTATAAAAGTATTTATTTTTATTACAGTTAGATTTTAAAAAATAATATATTTTTATTAAAATATATAAATAGTTTTTTCTAATAAAATATAAAATAATAAATTTTTCGTGTATATATTTATTATGTTAGTTATCGATTAGTTCATTATATTTATAATTTTCAATAAATTTAATTTATTTTTAGTATAAAATTTATATAATGTAATTTTAATATAAAAATAAATTATTAATACTCCCCCGTCCCGTTAGAAGGGTGGCATTTGCTTTTTGTACGTAGATTTTTGAATATTAGTATTATATTGGATTGTATTAAAAAAGACAAAAATACCCCTATTAGTATGTTGTAATATAAAAGTAATAGCATTTGTGTAATAAAATGTAAGTTGAAAGGGTATTTATTATGTTAGATAGATAATACAATTACTAAATTAAGAAATGGTAACCTTGTTTTTTGGGAGGGACGAAAATAGAAAATGATAACCTTTCAATGGGACGGAGGGAGTATTTATATTTTCTATTTTATGCTGATTTTAATAAATTTATATATTTTACAATTAAAATAATTTTTATATAAAAATTAATTATTTTAAATTTATAAAAGTAAAACTATATTATAATAAAATATTCTAATATAATTAATAAATAATCAAAATATATTTATTTGTGTAAAATGCATAATAAATTTTTAAGGGCATATAAGGAATAATTTTTTTTTTTACAGAAAAAAATTATTTCAAAACGTTGGGTAAGTTAGCTTTTTAGAAATTAGCTTTTTGGGTCCAAAAAGCTATTCCAAAAAGCTAATTAACCAAACACCTAAATTAGCTTTTTGACTAGTCAAACAGCTAAAAGCTGTTCAATAAGCTAAAAGCTCTTCAAAAAACTATTTGTCAAATACCCCCTAAATAATACCGTGTAATTAAGGGTGTATTTCTTTTGAGGTAGTTTGAGGAAATTGAGTTTGGGTTTGGATTAAGTTTGAATTTTTTGATAAGTTTAGATTTTTGTGTTTCTTTGATTGTAGATTTGGTTTGGGTTTGGGAGTTTTGATTTAATTGATGTGATAGTTAATAAAAATAATAATGATCTAAATATGTAGTAAATTAAATTTATAAAATTAATAATAGTATTTTTTGAGTATTAATTTATGTTGATCATAAATAAATGTTTATATTTTTTTTATTTATTTGTATTATATAAAGTTTTATGTTTTACAAAATAACATATATATTGTATATATTTTATTAAATTATACTTATTAAAATAATAAAAAAAATTAATTTATCATATTTTTGCAGAGTCATGCACATCATTTGTAAATTTAAAAAACAAAAAAATAAATAAAATAGCAGAATCACTTATGCTTGCAACCCTACATCTTACTCTTACACCTATATAGTCGGAGTTTTTGACGCTCAAATCACAGCAACTGGACAGTAAATTTGGTCAAATCAAACCTAAAAAAACAAACTCTAAATATGCTATATATAATAGATATTTCAAAATTTATCATAAATGCATTTGATTTTTTTCTTAAAGAAAAACAATAATATTTAACTTACATATTAATGAAAATAAATAAGTTTTTTATTTATAAAATATTATATCAAATAATATTTAAATAAAATTAAAAAAAAAAAACTCAATTCTAAATCAAACCCAACAAACATCTCTTCTATTACCATCAATAAAATGATGCCAATATCCATAAAAAATAATAATAATAAAAAGAATAAATTTAAATATAATTTTAGATATTTTTTTCCATATTTTCATTAAAAAATAATTATATTCAAACTCAATTTGTATTATATTATTTTATAATTTATAACAATATACAGTATTATTTTTTTATAATATGTCACGATTTAAACTAAATTTCTTTGAAAAAATATAGAAAATATAAACTCTTAAAATTATACATTTAAATTTAATCTTTATATTAAAACATAATACTCCTTTTTTACAAAAAATTAAAAAATAACATACTAAAAGTAAATCACATTAAATTAGATATAATTCTCTTTTATTTTTTATTTAAAGAATAAAGAAAGCAATAGGAATAATTTTTTTTTTTTTTTTTCTAAATCCCCAAATGCAATTAAGTACATTTAGGGTGTGTTGGTTTGAGGGTTTGGATTTTGGATTGAGATTTCAATAGTAAAAATTTTGAATTTGAATAGTTGTATGATATGATATAAATAGGGTTTGATGTGATGTTTTGAATGTAAAATTGATTTTTAGTATAATATAAAAAATGAAAAATAGGTGTTTGATTTGATATTTTGGGAGAAAAAAAATTGGATGAATAGTGAAAATCCTCCAAAATCCTTGAAACAAACACACCAGACTCTTCTATATTATAATGTAATGATATTATTGATTGGAATAGGGGCGAATTTCGGAAATTTGGAAAGAGGATTTGGTGCCCTCTAATAAAAAGAACTCCACCCCACCAAAGTCTTCAATAAACAGTAAACCCCACGCAGGACAGACGATACGGCATCGTATTGTCCCACACGCACAACGGTAGAAGCAAAAGCGATGGGACGCCGATGGGGCGCCGCGGCGGCGGTGGCGGTTGCGTTGGCCGGCGTGGTTATTATGAGCGGCAAATTTGGATGGATTAGCGGGAAGAATTCGGCTGCGATGGAGTGGTTAAGAGAAATGTCCGATCGTCTAGGGTTTTGGGCAATCCCCGCCTACGTCGGACTTCACACGATCACTCTGGCTTTGTGTCTGCCCTATGCGGTGTTCTTTGAGGCCGGAGCTTCTATTATCTTCGGATTCTTGCCGGCTCTGCTGTGCGTCTTCTCGGCAAAAGTCCTCGGAGCCTCCCTCTCTTTCTGGATCGGCAGGCAAGTTTTCTATGATTTCTTATTCCCTAATATAGCTGTGTACTAAGTTAATTCGACAACCATGGTAGATTTAATGTATCCTTTAGATCAAGATACGTGGATTCGATTCGAGGCTTCCCAAGTTTGACCTAACCTAAAGATGAGGTGATCAAGGGAGTAGTAAATTGTAGTTTTCACTGCATTCTTGTTGTTAATTATTCCTTGAGCTATTTTGAACAATTGAAAGAACTAAAAGGAAGTCTCGAGTAATGGAAAGCTTGTCAATGGATCGATAGTATTCACAAGAGAATACGTTCATTTTTTGGCTCTACAGATTTTGGGATTAAAAATTGACAGAGTTTGCAAGGAAGACGCTAGTTCATGTCTCTACAACGGAGCTGTAAAACAAAGTATCTGTTATGATAAGTTTGCAGAAACTGTTTACTGATTTATGCACTTTTATTGCATTCAGGTCTTAAAATTTCATAGAATATACCTATAATTTGGGCTAAAAACTGATTCGGTTCATGCTGTTTCCTTTAGGGTATGTTTACTTTGATTGACTTATTAGGCTATGCATTGTGGAACATAAAAACTAATTAGTTGAGCACTTAGCTATGAAGAAGATAACTAAAATTTGGTTGCGTGCTGCCTATGCATCTTCCGCTATTACTTTTTGAGTTACTTTGTCTTATTTTTGATCGGATACTTTCTGAGTTTTGATTCCTTTGCATCGAAGCTCGCCATTAAGATGTTCCTTTTTTTTTTTTTTTTTTTTTTTGGTGTTGCTTGAAATAATTAATTGAACATGTATGGGTTTTCCGGGTGCACTTGCAGCACCATTATTCACATCTCCGGAGGAAATAGTTAGTAGCATGAACAGTTAGAGTTTCTAGAAGTATGATTTCCTTTAATTAATCTTTTCAAGAATTCTTTGTCTAGTGGAAGTGAATTGCGAGAATTGGATTGTGTTAGTATATTGAATTCTCTGTGGTAGAATTATTTTGTGGATTCGCATCCTGCACTGGGCGTCGGAACAGTGAGATTTCTACCTCCTATCTCATTGATCCAATTGTGTGTGGCGGGTGGGCAGCGGGTTGACGATAATGTGGTTGCCAAGAAGATATTCATAAATAATATCAAGATGGGTTTTCTTAGGTTGATAGAAAGTTTAATGGGGAAGTGGAAACTGTGATTCCAGATAGTGTTATTGATGAACTCTTCTTATTTGAATATGGGTAAATTGCATAATACCCTTGTGTTTCATTATAAATGTACAAAATACCTTTATTATTGCGTAAATAGCCTAATTATGCAAATGAGATGTTTTAGATAGCCTTTTTTTTAAAAAAAATTGATAAATATATAATTCATCAATCATTCATTTCATAATTATATTTTGGTAAAAATTAGATCGTGGATTATTTAATTATTTATTTAATTTAAAGAAGGCTATTTAAGATATTTTATCTTTCTTATATGTATAAAATTTATATAATTAAGTGAATGTTTACAATTAACATCTCTTTGGACTGAGAGGATGGATGTTTTGTGAAAATGATTTTACTCAATAAATAAAATATAGAGTATTTTGTGTATTTATTATAAAATACAAGGGGTGTTATGCATTTTATCCCTTGAATATCTATATCTTGGGGAGAGACATCATATGGGTAAATCTTCGTTGCTTACTTTTAACAGTCATACTAATTTGGTCAGTTGTAGCTACGAGCAAAGTATTTTCCCTCACCATATACGGAGCGGTAGATTTAGTTAACCAAAGCAATATGTGTGTGTGTATATATATATATATATATATATCTAACCATTTGTGCATTTGAATTCCCTTTCTGTCCGATTTCATCCACTTTTCTTTTACAGGCTCGTCTTTAGAAGCTCCAGCTCTGCTGCACAATGGGTGCAGAACAACAAGTACTTTAGCTTGCTCTCAAGGGGAGTCGAAAAAGACGGTTGGAAATTCGTTCTACTTGCTCGCTTCTCGCCCATTCCATCCTACGTCATAAACTATGCACTGGCTGCTACCAATGTTGGGTTTCTGGTCGACTTTCTGCTTCCTACGATAATTGGCTGCCTGCCCATGATCCTACAGAACACTTCAATTGGCAGCCTTGCCAGTGCTGCTGTGGCTTCAGCATCCGGTGCCCGGAAATCACAGATTTGGTCGTACGTCTTTCCTCTTCTCGGGATCTCCTCAAGCATTCTTATCTCATTAAGGATCAAAAAGTATTCCACCAGTATTACCAATTCTAATGATTCTTCTAGTGGATTCAGCACAACGGACGGGCGTGAATCTGCCGAAAAGGTGTCTACAAGGCACAAAGGGAGATCGGAGTAAGCTACTAGGGTAAGCTTTTCTTTCCCCATCTTCTCTGCGAAGAGATTATATTTGCCGAGTAAATTTTTGGCATGCTCACTCGCAAAATTGAATGTTGGTGTAAAAGGGGCGATGAGAAGTGCATTTGCATATTACATGGAAATATGTTGTGTCATATCATCATCCTCCTTTTTGTATCTTGTGCTTTTGTAACATTATGAACCATCTTAACAGTAATGAAGAGGCTCTTTCCCCATTTTAGCTGATGCTTTCTGGTTGCCTTTTTTCTTACCATTCGATTTTCATGTTATTCAATATATATATATATATATATTTATAAAATATCATATTAAATTATTACTTAATTTAATTTAATGGTAGAATAGTTGATATAGTTAAAATGGAAATAATCAACTGTAGTTCCTAATATAATTAAAATGTATCAATTTTAATTCAAATATAAAAATTTATCTCGAATGTCAATTTTGCCTAAAATTTATACTATTTACCAAAATTTCTTCTTAAAAATATTCAATTACATAATTATTTTTATTTTTGTATATTATAGTATTAAAAATTAAATTTACAATTTCAATACAGCTACATATGTTTCGTTGAAATTGTATTGAAATTTAAAATAAATTTGTAATATAATATAAAAAAATAATTGTATAATTGGATATTTATAAGAAGAAAATTTTTTATGAATAGTAAAATTTTAAGCAAAATCTTCCGGAACAACATATCCTATAAATTTTTATATTTGAATTAAAATTGATACATTTTAATTATATTATAATTTATTATTTATCCTTTTTTATTTTAACTATATGAATTATTTTAAATTCAAAATATTTTTTTTAAAAAAATATATATAAAAATAATAAAGTTTTAGACCAAATCAGAAAAGTACACGGTTATGTAGAATTAAATACGGTCGTGTATAATTGTATACTTAATTATACACGGCTGTGTATAATTGTACATGGTCATATAGTTTTCAGGTCAGTTGCCCCGTAACTCCATTGAGTCCACGTCAATAATTTCCGTTAGTTTTTTTAACGGTTGGACTAAAATTGATTGAAATTGTTTATAATGAGACTAAAATTGATGAGTTTTTTATATTGTAATCAAAATTGATAAATTTTAGTTATATTTAGACTAAAATTATTTTTTTTTCCTAATTTAATTTATATATATATATATATAACAAACAAAAAATACAAACTTTGTGCTCGAGTTATTTTTAATAGTACATAGGAGTATTGTTCACAGCTAAACATCTATCTATATGTGTGTATTGATAAGCTTTTATATAGTAACAAAATTTATTGATAAATAGTATTAGTATATAATTTATGTAGCATACAACCTTGTTAGAGTTTTAGATAATTGTCAACAATTTTGAGACATTGTGCTTTCCCATGCTCACCCATGCAGTTTTGATTGAAAAATAAAGAATATGTATGTGTTATGACACGTACGTAAATAGGTGTCACAATACATTGCATTTTCACACAGGTCATTATATCATGCATATATGTGTCATTATAGAATCATACTGTGTAGCACATTAAATGACTAATATAATTTTAAAAGCCTATCAGTAGGCTTGCTCATTGTATTATTTTGAGGAATAATAAATAGTAAACGATTTTCATTCCCTCTCTCTCTCCATATAAATTATACACAAACGTTACATATATAGGGAGGGTTATGGTCTCAAATCAGCACAAACGTTACATATATTTGCTGTTTGTAATAAAAGTATGTGTTGTTTGTTCATAATTACTGCATGTGTTGTACAAGAGTATGTTATGTGTTAAACTCAACTGTTGTATGAGACTATACCATGCGTTGTATTTGTATTATATTAACGCATATTGTGTGTTGTCAGTGGTAACACCGTAGCTTATCCGATAGCACACGATGTAAATACTTTTCATTGCACAACTTATATATTATTATAATATTGTATTATCATAGGTATATTTGTTATACATTACACAATATATTATCAGTACGAAACTTTGTCAAAAAAATGCTAATATAAAGATAATAATTTTTTTTTTTTTTATAGAGTTATTCAAATGGGTTGTGAAAATTGTAATGCCCGTACACAATAAAAGGATATCGTAACACTGTAGAAGTTTTGCCAAAAATTTTTAAATTATTTTTTAAAAATATTTCTTTTCAATATAATTATAATTAACGTATAAATGTTTGATTTTCCCCATTAGCTATTGTAAAGAAAAAAAAATCACCTAAAGATGTCAATGATCAGTAAATAAATTTATCTTGAAAGTTCATATTTTGATAAAATCTTAAAAGTTCATATTTTGATAACTCTAAAAGTTCATATTTTGATAACTCTAAAAGTTTATATATTATGAACCTCGATAGTGTATATTTTGAAAATCTAGATTATATTTTGAGCCTCCTTAATGTGTATATTTTGAAAACTCTTGATTATGTATATAGAGCATTATGAAAGAGCAATGTTGATAATTTATACCATTGGTATCCCCTATATATAATAATTTTTACTATCATATTTTGTAATAAGGCTAACAACTATGAATTTCATTCATATTACTTACATATTATTCTATGGAGTAAAAATCAATTTTGGTCTCATTCAATATCATAATTATCAATTTTGGTCTTATTCAAAAAAAATTATCAATTTTGGTCCCATTCAAAAAAAATTATCAATTTTGGTCCCACTCAAATGAAAATTTATCAATTTTAGTCCCAAGATGGTTGACTGGGACTGAACACGGCCGTGTTGGCTTGAACACGGCCGTGTTGGATGACCCAGAAGGTGACTGGGCGTCCCAGGTAGCCAACACTACCGCGTTGAGACTCCTGCACTTCTGAACACGGCCGTGTTCCTGCCCATGTTTTCAACACAGTCATGTTCTAGGCCATGTTCATGCTCATCTTCTCAACACAATCATGTTCTAGGCCATGTTTTTATCCATGTTCTCAACACAGCCATATTGTAGGTCATGTTCACGGCCATGTTTTCAATATAATTATATTGTAGGTCATATTTATTATTATTTTTACTTTTTGGTTAAAATTATTTGATATATATATTTATAATTCAACAAAAATATTTTTTACAATTATTTCATAATATAGAAAATAATCAATTTTTAATATTTTAAAAATATATAAAAAAAAATAATATATTAATATATATTTTTAATAATACTCTCTCCGTCCCACTTACCATGTCCATATTATCGTTTATGTCCGTCCTACATCCATGTCACTTTTCTTTTTTAAAAAATAATTACACACTATTTTTTAATTTATTTTTTTTTAATTTTAATTAAACTAATGAGTTATCTTAATATTAATTTATAGTTATTTATATTATATGATAATTATTTTCACTAATACATTATTAATTATTTACTAATTATACTTATTATAATCATATCTACAGTGACCCGGAGGAAGTATTATTTTAAAATATTATTTTGAATAATAAATTTAATTTATAATTTACAAAAAATAATTAATTTAAAATAATATTTTAAAATTTTTACTATAAATTTTTAAAAATATATATAATGATGATTATTGAAAAAGTATATATTAATATATTATTATTTTTATATATTTTTAAAATATTAAAAATTGATTATTTTTTATATTATGAAATAATTGTAAAAAATATTTTTGTTAAATTATAAATATATATATCAAATAATTTTAACCAAAAAGTAAAAATAATAATAAATATGACCGACAATATGATTATATTGAAAACATGGCCTACAATATGACTGTGTTGAGAACATGGCCTAGAACATGCTGTGTTGAGAACATGGGCAGGAACATGGCTGTGTTCAGAACATGGGCAGGAACACAGACCGTGTTTAGAAGTGCAGGGGTCTCAACACGGCCGTGTTGACCGTGTTGGTTGCCTGGGACGCCCAATCACCTTCTGAGTCATCCAACATGCCGTGTTCAAGCCAACACGGCCGTGTTTAGTCCCGGTCAGCCATCTTGGGACTAAAATTGATAAATTTTCATTTGAGTGGGACCAAAATTGATAATTTTTTTTGAATGAGACCAAAATTGATAATTATGATATTGAATTGGACCAAAAATGATTTTTGCTCTTATTCTATGATATTTCTTCCGGAAGAAAAAATATAAATATTGAACGTGCTATAATAAAAAAATCGAAAACAATATATGTTTCATATATAGTACATCAACGTACACTATCCTGAAAAATAAGAAATATTTTACAAATCTAAAGTTGGAAAAAAAACACATAATTAATACAATAGATGATAGTGTAAAATTGATTGAAGGATAAGAAATAACAAGAATTGATAGTTGGAAATCACATGCGTTTTATATTCATATCATATGCGATATTTGAGTGATTTTGATTGGATTTTACCTAATTTATATGCGAATTGTTTATTTGCTGCGTGCAGAGGACAAATATCAAATTTGGCATAATTGGCAGAAAAAGGGAGGAAAAATACAGATTTGCACAACCTAGTTAGTCATGACCATGACTAACTACACCCTCTTGATATGAGAAATTAATTAAAGCCCAAAAGCCCATCTACAAAATAATTAGGGCAAAAATTAAATAAAAGGGGGAACACACGCCTATAGGAAGAGAGAACGGCTAGGGCAGAAACGCACAGCAGGAGATACAGATTCATAGATCGCGTAGGAGCAAATCGACAGAGAAGATTTCCCCCTCCCACTATGACTTTATCTTTCTCTTTTGTTCTTTGTTATTTGATTATGGAATAGATACTTTTCTGGTTTGAGGGGTGATAATGTTTTGGTTCTTTTGTTTTGGAGATTCTTGATTTTCTTTGTAAAAGTTCTTTTTTATTATCAATATTTGTCTAATTCTGAGAATAGCGTTTGTGATTGTTAGATTGATTGAATGTTTTGGTACCGATATTTAAATTGGTCTGATAATCTAAAGTTAATTCAGGTAGGATATCCGTAATTGTATTCGCACTTGAATAGGTGATAACCGGGTTGAATAGTTCCTTCCCGGGGTTAGACAATCAAATCTAATTGCTCCTCCTAGGTAGTAATTGTTTTGAATTGGGCTTTTTCTAAATTACAATGCGGTTAGACAATATTCTTATGGGCGCACCTAGGTTTATTTGCTTAATTAGGGGTAGTTAACGGTCGTACCTTAATTACCTACACTGTAAGGAAAAATTGGTTGTCAGAGTTTGTTGATAACTATAACCAATTTATTGATACTTTAATAAGAATTAATTTTATTGAATTAATGATAAAACACAAGTGCCATAACTGCATCAACGAGCCAGACATCCCCTTGATAGTCAGTTCCCTTTTAATTTAATTGCTTTGTTATTTTATTTTCATTAAATAATAAAAGAAAAATCCCCTTTATTTACTGTATTAGAATACGAAAGAGTGAATCACACAATCCCTGTAGAGACGATCCATTCCCATGTATTACATTAAATTGTGATCACGGATTAGGTGAAATATTTGATTGACTGCGCGACAGGTCAATAATATTGCTCCTAAAATGAGTAAAACTTAATATCCAAAATATATTATTTTCTAGTAAATCACAAAAAAAAAAAATGTTGAATTTTAATGATATTCGCAGAGAGATCATAGAGCAAGACAAATAATAAATTTTGTTGATTACAAAATTCATTAATGTATAAAAATATGTGCTAGAAAAATTATCTTCATTGTCTTTCGGATTATATTATACAAAGTTGAATGAAATTGAAACATATCTAGTAGACCATACCTCTAGACATTCTATGATTTGACATGACGGATTTGAGCATCCCAATAATATTATGATGAGACGAATTATTGAAAATATCTATGATTATACTTAGAAAAATCAAAGGGTATTAAATACAAATGAATTGAAATGTGTTGTTTGCTCAAAAGAGAAATTAATAACTAGACAATCACTAGTTATTTATTATCCACCCGCCATTTGACATTTGCGAAATTATTTATTCAAATAATTAAATCAAGAGCATAATACAAATGAATTGAAATGTGTTGTTTGCTCAAAAGAGAAATTAATAACTAGACCATCACTAGTAAAAACGGAAGCTAAATCATTTTTTTATGCATTACTTGATGGTCGCATGTATATTTATTATCCACCCGCCATTTGGCATTTGCGAAATTATTTATTCAAATAATTAAATCAAGAGCATAATTTTTAGATCACCTAATAAATCAAATTTTATACTTAAAAAATATATATTTAAAATAACAAAATAAATTTACTCAAATGGTTCAAATCAAAATTATCAGTTTCGATTTTTTGAAAGGTCAAATCAAAATTAAACTTTCCATAATTTTAATATTAATTTCTTTTTATCTCAATTTTAGTTTAAAAACCACCTATTTTAATTTTACACTGTTAATTTATGTTTATTCTTTTTTTAATTTTTTAATTTCAATTAAAAAAACTGTAATTTTAATGTGATTTTATTTAGAAATATAATTTTTTGTGTAAAAAATTATATAAATAATAAAAATAATAATAACAATTAAATAGATTGTTACAAGATAAAAATTAATTATCTTGAATAAAAATAATATTATAAATCCGATCGAAATAATAATATAACAAAAGAAAATGTAAAATTATTATTATTATTATTAAAAAATAAAAATGAGAATAATAATAATAATAAATATATTTTTTAAAATTAATGTATTTTAATATTTTTTTAAATATTAATTATATATATACAAATATATTTGAAATTATATAAATTAATAAAAAATTAATGCACAGATTTATAAACTATAATGAAATTCATGTAAATCAGTAAATAATTCAATAAATCTATCAAAATCCATATAAATCAATAATCAAAATTAATTAAACTCTAAAAATTTATAGAATTTCCAAATTTACTGAAGTCTAAAAACTCCAAGGGTGTGTTTCTTTTAACTTTTTTCTCCCACACAATTTTTAAAAAATATTAATATAATGAGAGACATTCATTATTTTAATATTCCTTACACAATTTTTCATATTTCACATAAAAAAAATATACATTTTCAAATTATTTCACAAAACCAAACAAATTCATTAAAATCTTAATTGAATACACTTTCTAAATCTCATGTTAAAAACTTTTGAGTATATTTTGTAACCAAAAAATTAATATGAGTTATATATATAAAAAAACATATTCCCTCTACTCCAAATATGACACTGACCGAGAATTATGAGTGGTATAATCAATAAATAATTAAAAATGTATTTGTAAAATTAATTAAAATATAATAAAAATAATTATATATTAATATTAAATAACTTGTTAATCTAATAAAAAATAAAAAAAAATTTAAAATATAATTAAAAAGTAAAACAGTTTTAAAAAAAGAAAGTGACATGGAGAGAGTATTATATATCTATGTATGTAAATTTTGTTGGATAATCGGTTAATTATTTATTCGATGAGATATAATTTATAAATTAAATTCATAAATTTTGAAACAGATTATTCGGTGAGTTGAAATGCATATGAGTTGTATAAGACATGTGAATGCTGGTGAGCGACAAGAGCGTGCCACTCGTCCGAACCATTATTGGTCGTGAGTTATAGCTTGAGCTTGGCAAATATTAGATTTAACGAAGTCTATGTTGCTTCGGAGCTTGATCGAAACAATAAAATATTTTTGTTGAAATCGAAGTCCAATAAAATAACATTACAATATAAGCCAAAAAAATGCATACATTTAAAAGACTTACTATAGATGTATGGACATGCATATACATATACAATATATTTGCATGAAATATGACTTTAAATTGCATAAATTGGTGTGGACTTGCGTGCACAGTTACTTACATGCATGGATTAACATTAAATATAATTACAAATTATAATCGGTGATTTGAATACACATGATTTAATTGGTGGTCATTACTCAAATTTAATTTGCATTAAAGTTGGATAATAATTATGCACCGAATTACATAATTTTGAAATTTTGACTACACACGATTGAATGGTGGTCATTACTCCAATTTAATTTAGAGGTTACCTTAAAAATCAATCGTCGGTTTTCAAAGGAGTTGTAATTCCCTGCCCGTATGGTTTGCCTATAAAAATGGTGCTCATTCTTTCATTTTTATAGACGCAACAATTATTCATCTCCTCTCTCTAATATATATTATTTCCGGTGACCTTTCCGGTGTGTTTTCAATCGATATTCCGGTTGCATTCGGCCTATTTCTTTCATTCCTTTTCAAGCCTTCCGACACGGTATTAGCTCGCCAGAGCTCCGAAATATTGGGGTGCCACCTAATTCAGAGACGAATGTTGTTTTATGTTTGAGAACATTGCGCCACGAACCGGAGGCATTATCGGGGCGTATTCGTTTTTACGGAAAAAAGTTCTACCTCGAGTCGACGTGATTATCGAATTATTCCGATAAATTGATTATTGAAATTTATTTCAATAAATTATTGTGATTATTGAATTTATTTCAGTAAAAATTATTGTGATATCAATTTTATTTAGATAATTTTATTCATGCAATATAATTATTATGACAAATTTATATAATATTACTCCCTCTGTCGCACGTAATTTGTCATTATTTTCTATTTTCGTCTGTCCCACATAATTTGTCATTTCTATTTTTGGAAACGTAATTATGCACTTTAATCGCATTTTAAATTTTTTTAATTTTAATTAAACTATTTACTTATTTTAATCTTAATTTATAATTATTTTTACTAAATAATAATTATTTTTACTAGTACACTTCTTAATTATTTACTAATTATACTTTACCTAAATTATGGTATGTACAGTAATAGTTCCATATTTTTTTGGATTGAGGAAGTAGTATTTTTGTTTATTAAATAAGAATCAACAAATTTATATAATATTAATAATTTTTTTTGACCGAGAATCAACAGCAACTATCCTAATAATATTAGTACTTTTTATAATATTGATTGAGTTGTTAAAACTTTTTTTTATTAGATAAATAAATCTAAAATATAATTAATATTTTAGGGTGTGTTTGTTTGGGGGTTTGGATTTTGAGTTGGGATTTGAATAGTAAAAATTTTGAATTTGAATAGTTGTATGATGTAATATAAATAGGTGATGATGTGATGTTTTGAATGTAAAATTGATTTTTAGTATAATATAAAAAATGAAAAATAGGTGTTTGATTTTTGGGGGGAAAATTTTGGATGAATAGTGGAATTTTATCCAAATCCATCAAACGAACACACCCTAAATATACTCCATTTTTAGAACTTAAAACCAAACGGTAACAAAGTCACCCTTTAATTATTCCTGAACCCTAATCCGTCGTCATCTGTTAACACCGTCTTCATAGTCTCTGCTTCGCCGTCGTCTTCATCATCTCCGCCTTCGTCGCCGTCGTCTTCTTATCTTTTGGCTTCCCCCATTCACAGCGCCGCCGCATTCGTTTTCCTCTTTCGCTTTCCTTTGGCTTCCTCTCGTCCTTGTCTTAAGCCGTCGCCATCTTCATCTTCTTCATCCCTGGCTTCGCCTTCCTCGCCGTGTCTTACTCTTCTTTCCACGAAGGACAATACTGGCGCAGGCACTAGCCTACTATAGACCAGGCTGGGAGTAGGAAATTCGTGTACAGACTCCGCGAGTGCTAGGCCTTAAAAAAACCAACAAACACACCCTGTAAGTCCGGCCGCGTCTTTACTGAATTGAACTGTAAAGTGTTTTCGTTTCAGCAGTTTCAGAGATTTTTCTTTACGCATGCTTGCACATTTGAGTCTCTGATGGCTGGAAAAAAAATCGGTTTATTGTTTTTTTACTTTTTAATTGCTCGTATAATTCAGGCATTTCATGTTCGATATTCGAAGTTTGACGTGCCTAAGAATTTGCCGGTCCGGGCGAGATCAGGGCTAACCTGCCTTAAAATTCTACATCCAAATATGGCTGCTCTTTTTAGCCTTCTTTTCTTAGGGGATCTTGTACGTGCTCAGGCTATCTATTTATGAATGAATGGGGTGAATTATATTGGTTGATTGTTACATAAATTAGTACTATTTTGAGTAGTATATGAATGAGTTAACAAGATAAGAAAAGTTTTGATACATTGAGTATGTAAGTAGATGTGATATATTTTTAAATAAATGTAATAATGAAGGGTATAAATTAAGGAGTGCATAATAGTTATTTTTTATAAATGGAAAATGCATTTTTTTGTGGCCAAACAAAAAAGGAAAGAAAATAGACAGAGATTTGGTGGAAGATAGTTTGGAATAATTTTGTTGCTTATTCTTATACTGGGATTTGGACTGCATCAAGACAGTCTTTTGTACTAATGTGCCCCGATTTTAATTTCCGCCAATGACATTCTATACAGCAACTGAAGCCATGGTTGCTAATTGGGGCAAAGCTGGAGCGGCACCACCACATGAACTTAATGTGTGGAAATTTGCAGAGTCTAGAGCTCCTGAGCTCCAGGGCCTTCATTCTATTGTTGCTCAGCGTTCGGACAATAATTTTCAGTCACAGAGGAACAAGAGAAGGAGAACTACAGGCCATGACAATCGGATTGTAAGGAGAAAGTTCAGGAAAAGGCAGGCTGGAAAAGGAGATTCGGATCAAATTGATTCTGCGAGGAAAGATGAAAGCCAACTTCCTCGTCGCATTCGGAGAAAAAATGAACTAAAAAAGAATGCATCGAGTGGATTTGTTACATCAGGAGATGGGACTAAGAGATTGAGGACACATGTATGGCATGCAAAGCGGTTCACGATGACAAAACTTTGGGGATTCCACATCCCTCTTGGACTTCATGGCAGGTAATTTATTTCCATAGCCTGTGTAACCAATAACTAAGGTACTGATCCTCTAGTGTAACACAGTAACAATTCTGAGAAAATTGGATAGTGCTAAATTAATAAGTAATGTATTGATTTTCTGCATAGCATTGTAAATCACTTGTTTGGCGGGCACCCAACAAAATTTGCTTATAATTCATGTAAACAGAGGGAGAGGCTCAAGAGCTCTATTGAAAAAGTTAAAACATGGAGTACTTATTCACGATGCAAGTTACTATGGTTGTGTCCAATTGGAAGGTTCAGAGGTAGACTTCTCCTTACCCTTATAACTGTCATTATATTTATTTCCCTTTTCCTCTTTTTGTTCGATTCATGTGATTTTTTGGTTGTAGCTACATTTGATGACATTGTGTCATGCCTGTTATCTGTGTTTAGTGGGACTTAACCATTTCTTTCTTTTTTCCAGGATTCACTAGTGCTAGTTCTAAGTTCGGTGTTGGTGCCTTGCCCGCTTACAATTAGTAAAGAAACTTCGAAAAATATTCTTGATGGCACCAACTTTGGAATAGCTATGGTGAACGGTTATCACTTGAACTTTGTATTTTGATGCTCCTTAGTTCATGAATATTTTTTAATTATATCAAGAATATTGCAGATTCATCATGTTGGAAAACCATTTGATCCACCTATTGCTCCAGTTACATACATGTGGCAACCGCTGCAACAGATGTCTGCTAATGTAGGAGGGTCTAACACGGACATATCTGATAGCGAAGAAATGGTTAAGAATGATAGTATTATCCGGAAAGTCTGGATATGGATACATGCTGCTGCTTTCAGAGATGCATATGATGCTTTGCGTCTTTCTAGTGAAAAGCCGGTAAGGTGAAAATTTTGAAAGTTATTATAGTCTCAGCGGGCATAATTCACCCTTTCATTTCTATCCCTTTGGTTGACTTGAAATGATATAGGTTTGTGCTTACAGCGATATGCTATCTACAAATTATATTATAAACACATTTTACGTTCTGATGTAAGTCATTAAGCTATGAGAAAAGCTTATTAATGCTTTCTCTTTAACTATTTGTCGCTTTCAACGGATAAACAATCATTTCTCAATGGAACAATTCCCCATAAATATTATTAAAAAAAAATACAAACATACACCCACATTAATATAATATTAATATCATGCACTTATAAAAATTCAAATATTCAACACAATATTATTTTTATATTACCAACACAATTCCCCATATCACACACATAAAATCAATTCATGCTGAATAAAATTTATTAATATTTGTGCCTTGATTTTTAAGCTTGTTCTTTTGTTTAGGTGGAGACAGGTTCAGTTCATTGTGTGTCTCGTGAAGGCCAGGTTGCGAAATTGGAACTTGTGGGATCAAAAGTATTTGAGCTGCTTAACAAGACTCTTCAACCAGCAGCCTGGTAAGTTTCTGAGAGCTTGTTAATCTGTTCGCTATGAAAACATTCTAGTGATGGTTCGGTCATACTTTATGGGTAAATACAGCTTTGACAACTCATGGTATCTGAAGAAATCTTTGGCTGATAAACATGATGATTCTGGGCCGTCAGTGAAGCGATACATGTTCGAGAATGGAGATCAATTTTCTTCCCCATCTGTTGATTCTCTTCTTGTGAAAGATCCCCGTACGTTTACCAACAAAGTGAAAGCTATAGTTCCAGAAAGTAAACATTTTGGTTATGAGGAATGTGAACTTAAAGAGCAAACAATTTCACCACTTCCAAGGAATGAAGTTGACTGTGTACTTGAGAATTGTGATTTGTGGGACTCTTCCAAAGAGTTATACCCTCCTGTGGAAGAAAGTGTCCTATCCATGGAAAAACAGCAACGGCGTATGGAGTTTGTTTGCCTTAGTCAAAGAGGTTCTGGAACTCATAAAGCCTCATCTGATCTGAAATATTCTCCGGTGTGCCCCATTCTGCTGTTGAAGAATGAAAGCCGTGAAGATTCGGTTACAAGGTAAAAGAATTCCGCATCTTTCAATTGTGTTGTCTTTTTTTCTCCTCTTTTGGCCACAAGAAGGAATTTCTATTTGAATGACTTTTTTCCAAGGTTTAAATAATTCTATTTTATATTTTCATAAAGTTCCTTTCACCTACATAACTTCCAGTTGTGATACTATACTTTGTATTTGTTATGTGTCTAACTATTTTAGTAATTATTGCTTTTCATAAATTTTCCACAGCTATGGTTGCATTTACAGTTGACAGCTCCCAACTGATTAAACTATTTGTATGCCATGTCCTTGTTGTTTTCTTCTTAAAAAATGCTTCAGGTGTTCAGTTATTCTTCCCTTGACTTGGGTTAAAGCATTTTGGCATACTTTTACATCAAATGGTGCTCATGCCATAGGTTTAAGAGAAAAATATTGGGTTTCATGTGCGGTAAGTTGCCCTCTTGTCACTGTTGTACTACTACTAAATGACTTGCAAATAATAAAGTGACAGCTTACCATTCTGCAGACTGGATTGCCATATTTTCCCTTGGACTTTCCTGATTGCAATGCATACGTTCCTTCCATGGCAGTGGAGTTGGACGCATGTTCGGACAAAGCTGGTCTTCTTCCTCCCTCAGAGAAGCTGCTGGGAAATCCACTACCACCGTCCTGGGATCATATACATCTAACTTTGGAAAATATATCTCGTAAGTTAGAGAATTCTCTAAGTCAAGTAGCAGAATTTGGTGCTCAAAATAGAAAAATTGACATGGAAAAAGACTCAGTTGATGGAACATCAGAGGGGGCTGTTTCATTTCAGGGTATAATATTTAGGACATCCCATATGATGAATGATTTTGTGAACGACACCAGTGGGAATAAACAACTCCTATTTCCAAAATTGTTGGGTCAGAAGAATTATTTGCATAAATTTATGAAAGATGATACATTTCTCAATCAAGAAACTGCTATATCCGCGACGAACAGCACCAAAACATTGCACTATCTCCGAGTTCTTATATGTGCTTACAGGAAAGGTGTTTTTGAACAAGGAGCTGTTGTTTGTGCACCACATGTTACCGATATAATGTCGTGCACATCCAGGTCCTCTTGAAGTTACATAATGTTTACCAAATGCCTATTGTTTACTGAAGCTAGTTCTTTCATTGTTCTTATGGATTTATGGATGATGCAGATCAGAAGGTGGTAACCAAGGTCTTCAAATACCTCAGTCTTTACTGGAGCAACAATTGAGTACACAACAACCTAAGTTGCATGAGAATCTGACACTTTCTGAGTCATATAGGTGGCCTATTGGCTTCATTACAACTGGCTTTGTTCGAGGAAGGCAAGTGTTTACAAACAAACTTTTTACTGAAAGCCATATGTGTTGTTTCGGTCATATTTTAGTAGCTATTTTTTCATGATATTCCCTATTTTTACCCTGAAACTGAGATTTGTACACCTGGATATACACAGTAAGAAGGCAATGGCTGGAGCTCTTTGTGAGGCTAGCTTACTTTGTATGCTCCGGGAGGAACAGTGGAAAGCATTTCCTGCGAGGCAAAGGAAGAAAGAGATATATGTTTTGGTTAGAAATAAGAGATCAACAGCTTATCGACTTGGTCTTGCCACTATCGTTCTTGAAGAACAGGAAGCTGATCTCAAATTCCTGTGATCAATTTGCTGTGGAATATGCAGCATAGCTGAGACTTGGCCAATAGGTTATGATTACAATAGTAATTTAGTTACTATTTTAGTGCATTTTTTCTTGTTCCTTTTACGTTTGCGTATATTGCAAGTTGATGTCTATTCCATTACCTACTGCAGTATTTGATCTCAGCGAACTTCAGGTTCAAAAAGTGCACTTCTCATTTTTATATCACCAAACATCTGCTGATTGGAGGAGATACTTTATAACAAAGGTGAAATTAATTTTTTTGTTTAGATTTCTGATGAAATGAACTTCATGAGTTTGGCATTGATGAAGAAATTAATACTTGTTTGGAAACTCGAAGTTAAAATGCTGGAAATATCCAGGAATAAGATCTGCAAGGAAACTGCTTTCCTGCTCTTTGGTGCTTGATAAGCATATAGAATATATGTAATACACTAAGTTGTTTTGGTCACTGATTTTATTTCTGTGTGCTGCTTAGTTGATATGAAGGTATGTTACACTGTTAACTTAAATAAAATGATATCTTTTATCATTATTATTATTATTATTATTATTATTATTATTATTATTATTATTATTATTATTATTTTTCTTACAGATACAAGCAAATTTCATCCTTGTTTCTGGGGGTATATTCAGTAACACAACATGTTTTACTTACACAGGCACTTAAAGAACATATAGAGAGAGAAATTGTAACAATGCAATAACAACCATGTTCATCAAACAGTTAAAGCTGAAGCCGCTCCGGTAACTCTGAATACAAAGCAGCTGTTGTCTTTTGAAGACAAGGCTGATCCTTTGAAGTGTGCTTTCATCAGAAGTGGTATTACTGAGTGATAATTCTTCTATATTTCTTCACAATAACAAACAGGTTCCACCACTTTTGTTGTTTAAGCTTGTTTTTCTGCTCTATGCAAACCAAAAGACTCTCCACAGTTTTTTACTTGATTTATTCTACTGAATTAGCTAGTTTGATCGCTTTCTTGATTACCATGATATAGTAGTAGAAAGTCACAAGCTCCAACTTTAAAATACTATTAGCCTGTTCGTTCTTTTTCATTTTCTCCCTCTCCCTTTCTGTCTGTCTGTTTCTATGCCTGCCTTTTTGTCTTTTCCCTTTTTTCTCTTGTATATATGCTCATGTACTCTTCTTGTAGAAAATAACAATTTTCAGACTACACTATCTCCTTATCTGCAGAATATTAAGTTGTTGCTGCATTGATCTAATTAATTTCGGTCAATATTTCAGACAATGTAGCCGTGGTAGCTTCAAAGTTATTACTCAAAACTGTCTGTTTACATTTAACTACAATTGATGCAGTTTCTGAAACCATTTGTCTTCTGTTACAGTTTTTGAAATATGATGTATTGGATATGCAGCTCTGCTTTAATAATATTGGTGGTGATGAGTATCCTTTTCTATTAATGTACTAATTGTGTAGGACTGATGGAAATGTTGGAAGCGGAAGCAAAATGTAGTACATTGAATGTAATAACTGCTGTTCAAGAGCAGCGTCAAAGGTCAGTATCTTTGCCTATTAAGGGAGGTCCTGCAAATTGAATTGATTTTACATGTGCAATTCACTCTGTGCTTTTGCTTGTTTTTAGATGTTCCGTGGCTGTTGCCTGTTAATTTTAGTGTAATTGAGATTGATTCAAATTAAAGTATTATCTTGTTGAGCTATACTAAAAGTTAGAGATGCATAACTCACATTCGTATAAACTGAAATGATACTCACCTGCATTTGATGGAGGTAGAGGGGGGCATGTGTCGCCCCCCTGCTAAGCCCAGGGCAAACCTTGAAACCTAAACAGTGAAATATGACCATGTTTTAAATTATTGGGTCTTAGTTGGTGCTACCAAGCAAATTCTCGTCTTATTATTATTATATTTAATGTTTGTGTGTTGAATTATCCCAAAATTGAATTCACGTTGATTTGATAGCATGGACAAATTATAATTTATAAGATTATCTTTTCACGATGTTAATCAATCATCTTGTTTGTTCACATTGATTTTCTCAACTATCTAGTTTCCCTGACTGTGTTGTGTGTGTTGTGTTGTGCGTGTGTGTATATATATATATATATGTATATATTCACGGGTATTAATTGTTTCCTGGTGTCTCCAAAACATTGGTTTGACAGGTCTTTTTCCTGATGTTTATGATGCTCTTGGTCCTGTATTTTCTTCGCTGTCAGCATTTATATGTATGACACCTTGTTAATGCTCTACTTCTTGATGATGCAAGTACCAAAGGAAATCTTCGAGGCCAATTTGAGTAGCTAATTACTCAGGTCAACTTAGGATGAAATGTACGTATAGCATTTTGATGCAAACCGCCCCTATTCTTCTTACATTGAATGTTACCTAATTTATAGCACATAGTATTATCTCATTTAGAGGATTTTAAGAAATGTAGAATGTCCAAATTTTGTTCGATATGCTGTTTACACTCCCCCTTGATCTCATTGCTGCTGCACTTCACAAGTCTTTTAGTACTAGTTAATGATGTGTATATTTTATGATTAGAAAGCATTTCTCAATTAGTTTTATTGTGTATATTGTTATATAATAAGTATAATATAGAAATAGGTAAGATGTATAGATATATATGAATACACTGTGTCGTATGTATATATGTAAATATATATTAATTAATGACTATATTTATAATATATATATATAAGTGTACGTGTACCATGTAATGATGAGATTGATATGGTGAATAGAGAGAGATGAGAGAGTGGAGGAATTGATGTTACTGCATTTCTACAGGCCTTTATACATGTATAAATGTATATATGGGTGTGTTTGTTTGCTATTTATCCCATTTTTTTTTTCCAAAAAATATTAAATCAAATACCAATTTTTTATTTTTTATTTTTTATATTATATTAAAAATCAATTTTACATTCAAAACATCATATTAATACTTATTTATATTATATCATACAATTATTTAAATTTAAAATTTTTACTATTCAAATTCCAATTCAAAATTCAATAGAAAATGTCCACATCTGTGACTTCATAGGTATGTTTTGTATGGTTTACAAAGAAGCTATGGAATATATACGTGTTTTAACATATCTATGAATAATGGCTTTTTTTTTTCTCTACTTTTTTCATTAGAGCATCTCCAATGCACACATATTTGAAGATTGGTAGCCTCTTTTTGCTCCAATCTATTGCAAAATTGGAGATATTGCTTGCACGGTAGCAAAACGCTAGTTTTGGTGTTTGTATTTTTATTTTTTAAAAATGGTATATTAATTATTTTATTTATTTATTATTCTTAATTTCTTTATAAAAAAATATTAATTGTAATGGAGGCGCAGATGGGGGAGAGCTGTCGCCTTAGATATGCTAGGGGTACACCTTTGAGTTTGTGATTGAAATCCAGTACCGCTCATGTGCGTCTTGCATTTCTCCCCTTAACGCCTTATACTCGGATGTCTTCGTGAACTCTACATCGTATAGTTCCATTACCACGGAGGATTCCGTAACCGAGAGTTGGAAGTTCCTATTGCCGAGGCCGAATGAAAGTGTGGCGGGATAGTTGAACACGTGCATGTGTTGTCAAAGGCTAGGGTACTCAGGAATTTCAGCGTCAACATATGTTGTGTGTCGTCCTTAATCTCGAAGAATCGTCTCCATGCATCTACGCGGAGGTATCTCTCGCATTTAGTCACTGCATTAAGCGCTTCAACTGACTCTACGGTTATGTAACATCCGCTAAGGAAAGTTACTTTATTCAATTGGTTGAACTTCTCCACGTGCACTGGGTTCTCAAAAGGCCTCAGTCCTGCGTTGTTGAGGCCCGGAAGCGTTGATGAAGATGGGGGCCGTGGGTTTCTTAGTAGGCCTGGTCCTCTTATTCACATTAGCCATATCAACGAATGCGCAGAGAGACTAGTCTACGAAAAAAAAACATAGAAATAGAGTGAAATTAGTTTGCAAACTCGGAGGAATACAATATAATTGTAACGGAAGTCCGTTTGCTTTTGTGATGTGTGTAATTCAAAGTTAATATGTATGTGAAAATGTATTGGTAAAAGAGTAGTAAATTAACGTTATGCGTGCACGACCATTCAACCCAAGTGCTAAACCTGCACGGATGTACATGACATTGCACCCGTGTGGTCTCGTGAAATGAAAGCGGGACAGAAAAAAGCTGCTATATGTGCACAGCCATGCAGGTCACCTGAGAGAAATATAATATGAGAATGAGAACGCATACAAAGCAATGCATGTTTACGCATGACTGTGCACGTGTGCTTGAAGTTGGCTCATGCCTATAACAACGAAACAAGCAGATCATATGAAAATTTGCATGACCGTGTTCGATGGGTGTAACCGGGTTGTTTCCGCTATACATGAAAACAGAAAAATCCAGCGCCATATGCACGGCTGTGCATGATGTTCCGCATTATTTTGGCTTCCATGAAACCTTGAACAGACAGCACAGCACACCGCGCAGCGGGTGTGTACGACGCTCCTACTATTACGTCAATTAAAATTGCTCTCGACGGGAGATTCGGCAATCATGGCAACGTATGACAATCATTGAATCTGTTCGCAACTACTTATCCAATGAGAGCTCAAGTTTACGGAATCACCATTACAGTTCACATTAATCCACAAGGTACAAAAACATCTATGACGATTACATAGAAACAAGCATCGTAATATTGTAATGACATGTTGGGTCTGTATAGGCAACATCCATTACGTCTAACCTATCGATTACACGTAGTTGCATAAAGTATGACAGTCGACACTTGGTAGTTTTAAACTATTACATTAGTAGACGGACTACGAAGGCGGCCTTCATGAATCAAATGACGAGCCATAAGAAGACCACGACTACTACGATAAACAAAATGGCAATCCACTTGCATGTTTGACATTTACGTGGGCGAACCTGTGTGTCGGTTTTGCTTGGGAACCATAACTCCTAGTCTCCCATTTGCGTTCCCTTGTTATGTGATGCCCGTACATACGTTGTAGTAGATGTTGTCCAGGTGAGTGGTTGTTGTGGAACATCAGTAATTATGGTGGCCTTCACCTCCGAAGACCACCAAAAGGATCCTTGCCCTCGAGGACAGTATGGGCATGAAAAGTAAGGGCGGCCAGGGTTCCTAGCGGTACGGCTTATGCGCTGCGGCATCAGTGTTCCACATACCGCGCAACGGGGGTGCACGTGATGGGACGAAAAACTCAATCAACTGCGAGACATAAAGTAGCAAGTATGTCTAGCGGGACTATCAACCAAAGAGTCGAGTTCATGAGATCATCTTACACGGTCGTGTTATAATATATGAAAAGACGATTACAGAAAGTCTCAAGTGCGAGCATAAGGACCTTGGTGTAGGAAAAAAAACAAAAAAGAGCATATCTCTATAGGGAACATACGGCTGTGCTCGTTGCATTCTATCTATCCCGGCTTGTCCACATTCCATTAGCGAGTTGTTCTCAGAACTGATTCTTATCTGGATTTTCAAATAGCTCAAGCTACTCATTCGGGAGTGGGTCGCTCGTGGTGGTGTTTTCCGTAGCCACAAGTGCAGGCTTATTGCCTTTTCCGTCATGATTTTTTACATTCTCGCCCTCAGCTAGCATCAAATTGTGGACAGTAGCGCACGTTTGCACCAAGTTCACTTGCCGATAAAACTTATAATTCGGCATCGGACCCCTCAAGATGGCAAACCTTCGCTTAAGAACTCAAAATGCTCGCTCCACGACATTGCAAATTTGAAAATGTCAATAGTTAAATAATTCTTTAGGACTGTTGGGACCCCCTGGGGTGTCGCGAAATGTCTATGAGTGGTAGCGGTGTGACCGGAAGGGGGTGAGTGTTAAGGTGGAGTTGGTGTATGCCAAGTCCGCCAGGTAGTATTTTCTTATCATAACACCCATGTGTTAGCGGAATATCCATGGGTGGACGCGCTAAGCTGACTTACTGTAAGAGTGTGTGTAGACTGACCCGGCGGGGGAAGATGAAAGTCTTGTAAAATGGCTATTGTGTGATTTAGAATAAATGAGTCATGTGCACTCCCTTCAAAACCTGCATACACGTAAACGAAGTACATATCATGGTCAACTGCCAAGATATACTGCTCAGTATCTCCGTGCCGACTACGAAAACGTGGGGCATCCACCGCAGGGACGGATGCATGTATAAATGTACCATCGAGGGCCTCAACATAGTCCAGTAAAGGAATTTGTAAGATAGTATTGTAGTGTCAATTCCATTGATCAAGTATGGTACAATGAATAGCAAACAAGGCAGCTTATACCTTAAAATAAGACATGACGTGTCGGTTGTTTGCAATGCGAGGATGAGTAATAGTCTGGTCTCTAGGGGAGACAACCTTCAATCCCAACAGGCACAACGCCTCACTTACCCGTTTCACGTGTCGCCATATCCTGTGCGTTGAGTGTTGAAACCTCTCCACATTGCTACGATGCCTATTAGAGTGGACAACCTTATGTAGAAAAATGGCGACAACCTTATGAACCCTACACGCGTCCGTACGTGTGGCTTAATTAATCCCCGCGTGATCAGCGTGTCCCATATACGTAGGAAAGTCTCATTTTTCACCCGTAACATATTTTAAATCCTTACGGGATGTCCATTTATAAGCTCTTGTGTAAAGGCCAAACCACTCAACAGGGAGTCATAACAACGTGTTGGGCGTAAGCCTTGTACAAATGCAGTGGTGGCAATACAGGACATTCCATGCAGTGCCTCTACGTATGCAAGCTCCATTCGCTCATCATTCGAGTCATCGCGCATGATGGACTCCTCATCATCCTCATTGCAAAATTCCTCATCACTAAAGGCCGGAAATCCACCATTAGGATTGTTGATGGAATTGGGGGTCGTCCCATAATTACTTGCTATTATTTAGATGAATAAAGAGGAATTTACCAAAGGGAGGAAAGTAAGTTCTACAACAACACTTAAACGTAGTTCGAGCATAAGCAAATGTGGCACAATTGCGAAGATTCACCAATACGAGTACAACACAAGGTACGATAACACAAGACGCAACGACACAATAGTTGTAAAAATTGAAACCGTCATTCAGGTTCCATAACTACTGAGGTGCAAATGAAAAGACCTACATCTGCTGGCGCGCGAGTGGCCACCCAAGGAATATCACTCGAAGGTCCAGGAGTGAAATCTAGCGTGACGCACGGACAAACGCCACATCAAAAAGATCGGTGAACGAGTCGAGAATAGTCTGCGCTCGGAGGAGGGTGTCACGACGTTCATTGTCCCTTGCAAGTAACCTCTGTTATCTCGTAGCCCCTTTGAATTTGTCCCTTGATCTGCCGTGTGAACTCTCGTAGCCCCTTTGAATTTGTCCCTTGATCTGCCGTGTGAACTCTTCATTCATTGAGGCCCCCCCCCCCATGGCGGCGTTGTTG